AACCTGGGTTGCTTGTTGACCCCAAAATTTATGGATGGGAGTGAGTTTGGAAGGAATTTGCCATTGTGAATGTTGTTGTGGCTCAAGGACACTTGAAATTAAGTGCCCTCTAACATGCAAGAATATGGATCCCAAATCGGCATTTTTCTCAACAGCTATTGGTGGGAAAACTAATGATAGTGGCAAGAAAGTGTTGAACAGGAACCATTTACATTACTTTCAAGTCCAAATGGGTATGGCTATAAGTCAAATTTACAAATGTGATTTTATTGTATTTACAGAAAAAGGAATTGATATTGTAGAAATACCATTTGATGCTGACTTCTAGAGTTATGTATTTAAAACTGTGTTTCTTTTCTATAAGAATTATATTATTGGTAGTCTTTTATTGAAATATATGCAATGATAAAATTTTATATTTACAAATAATAGTTTTTCAAAATAAAAATATTAAGTATAATTTATTTTAGATTATGTAAGGATTACTTTATACCACGCTTTCCTAAATTACATAAAGCGGCACACATAAACAAAATGTTGTCGAAAACTGGTTTTAATGTCAATGGAATAACTCCTGATAAAATCTGAAATTGCTTTAGTTTCAATATATTCCTTTCGACATGAGATCTTAATGATGCCACACGCCGAGTATGAGTTGTTCCACGAGAGGAAAGTCTTGGTCCACGACAATAGGCGGGAGAAATAAGGTGAACTTTCTTCACCACAAGTAGATCTCTAACAAGGAATCCCTTATCAGCCATGACACCATCACCTTTTTCTAGTAAGTTTATGAGACCAGAGTTGGTGACCATTTCCTTGTCAGATATTGAACCAGTCCTAAGGGGTGGGATGAAGGAAAAAATACCAGTAGGGGTAATGCCAACTAATAGTTTAGCAGTGTTCCAATGCTTATAGCTGCTCCATGAGATTTTCTGGCTCCCAGGTATCTTAGGTTTTTGTATAAAAAAATTCTGTGCAATCAATGATTATTCTTAAGTTTTTAAATTTCTGAAATCGCTTAGGTAGTTTCTCTTTGATTTCAGACTTACTTGGCCAAGGCACAACGAATGACAGCTCGTTATCAAATCGTTTTCGTGTCCTGACAAGAGTAAGAATGAATTCTTCCCAATGTGACAATACTCTTGAGACATGCCCTCCTTTAATAGACTGGGCAGTGGCTGTATCAGTAGAACCTCTCCAATACCTTAGACTCTTTGCTTTCTCTTCAATCAAACTGAAAACTAAGTTCAACTTTTCTAGTGACAATCCAGTGTAGCGGTAGCAATTCTTCTGGCAAATAGCTTGTTCAATAAATAAGTTTCTTTTCAACGTTTTAACTTCGCCCTGGCAAAAACAGTCAATGAGGTCATGTTTATCACTTTCATCAGAATCATAACTTGTAACATCCAAGTCTGTTGTACAATTTATTTGTGGACTGTCTTCGTGCACAGACTCCGGCTCAGTACACTGCTCAGGAGCAGTGATTTCAGCAGCAAAAAATGCCTTATCCTGATGCTCAAAGCTTTTCTCACACAGAATTTTTGTCTCTTTCTTTTTGGAATATTTGATTTGCTTCTATCTTTCGTCGGTAATCGCATACTGCTTTCTTTTGATTGGTATCCTTTTAGAAACAAAGTTGGATCGGGACAGCCCTCGGATCGATAACCAGCAAGAAAATGATTAGAAAAAACATTCGTATTAGTAGTGACTTTGAAGTTTTTCCTGTTGATCAGCTTTTCCTGTTGAGCACTCTTGTCTTTCGCGTTTTTCGGAGAAAAAAAGCGAAGAATACCAACGTGATCAGAAACGATATATTTTTCAGGATATCTTCTATCGTTATCACAGCCATAAACAGCACAGTGATCCCCTTTTCCCATTATAATTTGAATATAAACTTTTACGAAAAGATATTTTATAAAGATACACAATGTTTGCCCCCTGGCGATCCCAGAATGCATTGCAAAAACCGCGCAAATTTAAGGGAGACTGGCAACCGGCAAATACTCCATTGCAACATAATATAGCAAATATTTATTGATACGTAATAGGATAAGTCTTCACACATACATATAAAAGTCCATCAAATTTTGAACATGCTTGTATTTAACTATTTAATGTTTCACTAAATCTGTAAATGGCAACATATTTATGAAAAAGTCGTTATTTCAAATATAAGTGAGAAGCTAAACAAAAAATAAAGCAAAAGATTTTGAAATTATAATTATGCACACTTATCAAATATTTAGATGTGGGGTATAAAATGATTGTGAGTAATATTAATTTGGTACTGAATTAAACTGTTGTCTATAGCCAATACATTGTAAGGACACAGCCTGTGTAGGCAGTTAAGAAATATTTTGTTGTTAGGTGTCTGTATGAGTGAAAGTTGAAATCTGTTCTTATTACCATACGCTAATTCAAAAAGCTATGCTATATGACAAAGAATTTTTTTTTTCTTTGTTTCGTATGACACCTTCCAAGTTTGAAGAAGACACCTTCCAAGTTTGGCATGCAAGAAGAGAAGCTATTGAACCTGCAGGAAGGCTTTGCGTCACTTTAAGATGTTTGGTCATTGGAGACGCCTTAGAAGTATTGCAGCAAGTTACCTTGTAAGCCGTACCGTTGTGGGACGAATTATGAGGGAGTCTTTTAAAGCTTGGTGGATTGTTATCGCAGAAATTTTTTTTTTATATGTTCCAAGTTTGTCGAAAGAATGGCTAGATAAAAGTTAAGACTTTGAGAGAAGGTTGAATTTCCCGAACTGCGTCGGACTGATTGGCGTAAGCATATCATTATCCAGTGTCTTTCACGAGCAGGATCTATGTTTTTTAACTATAAGAAGTTCCGCAGTGATGTCCTGATGGCAGTTGTGAATGCAAAATATCAATTTACAATGGTTGATGTAGGCGACTACGGACATCTAAGTGACGGTAGCGTTTTTTCAAGTAGCGAATTTGGTGTTGCTATGAAACAGAACAAACTAAAACTTCCACACCCAAAACTGCTACCTTGGACAAATATTAGTGTACCATATGTGTTTGTAGGAGACGATGCTTTCCCTTTTAAAAATTTCTTTCATGAAACCCAATCCTAGAGGAGAGGTCCAGATCCCTGAGAGAATTGCAAATTACAGGTTCTCCCGTACAAGAGGTTTGTAGAAAATGCCTTTAACACAGCCACCTCACGATTCAGACTTTTCAGACGTGCAATTACAGCAGATGTTGACGTTGCAGTGCAAGCTACAAAAGCAATTGTGGCTCTTCATAACTACCTTATGGCTGACAGGTGTATTCCAAGTAATCCATATTGTCCATCTGACTTTACTGACTATGACTGCAATGGTTCACTTAGACTGGTGGGTGGAGAAAGGAGAATGCAATAATGGCGGAATTGAGGATATAACACATCTTGGATCCAATTCTATTCAATGCAATCATAAAATATCAGAGATTGTTTTAGAGATTATTTCATTTCAACAAAAGGTTCTGTGAATTTTGAATTATGTTGTACATATAGTCGCTAATGATAAAAATGAAAGATTTGGTAGCTGCTACTTTTGACAGTTAAGTGCAATAATTTTGGAAAGATTCATGAAATGGCTTGTTGTCGACATGATTCAAAAAGTGAAATTGATCAATGGAAATCTTTGCAAATAGAAGTTATTCAATTTGCCTGAAGTTTGTGATTGATGATTCCTGAATGAGCAAACAAAATGAAGTTTTTCTGTTCATTATGTTGACTCATTCTGGCATTAACAACACATCTATACCTGCAATTTGAAAGACACTCTATGTTAATCACCAAATTTTGGTGTAAATTAGGGCCTCCATAGACTAGGTATTTTGTTTTCGGCCACTAGATGTAGCCGACTACGAAAAAATACCGTCTGTTGAATAAGTTGTCGACTAATAAACGTGTAGAATTGTAGTTGTCGACAACAAAGCGGTTTCTCTTTTTTGCAAGGGTAACTGCAATCACAAAAGTGCTGTTTGTCGACTACATTTAGTTGTCGACTACGGAAAGTTTTCCTAGTCTGTGGAGCCTGTTAATGTAATTTTTATACCGTCATAAGTACTATTAATGCGTAAGTCATCATCAATATTTATTTAGGCGGGGGATTCATATATATATTTAGTTTCGCCCTAATACAATTGAAAATAGATAAAAATGGTCCCGTAAACCTCAAAAAAATATGATAGTTGTTCTTACTTTATTTATCTTACTGATGAAATTTTTCACGTGATTTAAATTTATACGTGTTTTATATACATAAAAATTTAATGGCTTTTGTGGTGGGATTGACATCGTTGCCGCGCATGCACATGTGGTTTGTATATTAAATTTGTACAAAGCATGTTTTTACTTCAAAATCGGTCGTAGAAGATGCAGTTGGTCGTTGCCATGGCCATAAACTTGCGCAGCTGGTCAAGTCGGCTGCGCTTGCTAAAGAAGACTACCCATGCGCGGATGATTTATCAGAAAACTTATGACTACGTGAGGGAATTACTCCATAATGGGTACTTGTACCAACAGTTGGTCGTTTCCATGACTATGAACTTGGAGAGTGATGGAGTTGACTACGCATGCTTAGCATTAATTCTCAATTAATTTTTGAATTAGTGAGCTCTAAAATTGGTGCTTGTGTATACAATTAGCAAACTTTTAAATTAAATATTTTTGGCATGTTCTTTGCTGCACGAATTTAAAAAAAGTTTTCGTTGCCATGACCATGAACTTGGAAAGTGGTAGTGTGGACTGCGCATGCTCAGACTAATTCTTAATTAATTTTTGATTTAGCGAGCTCTGAAACTGGTGCTTGTATAGACACTTAGCAATTTTCAATCATATATTTTTGGCATGTTCTTTGTTGTGACAATGTTAGATATGTTTTTTTTCGCTAAAACGTTGTATCTGCATATTTTGTCCATGACAATGCCCTAATGTTTACGACGTATAATAAAGTTAGTGAATTGAGGTAGAAAAAATATTGAAAATGAAACTTCCAACAGGAAAACAAAATCAAGCATGACAGAGGAGAAGCAAAGAAGCCAGGTTGAAAATAGCTTAATGAAATTGAATGAGGACTCGTGGACAAACAAAGACGAGAATGTTTCCAAGAATGTTGATGACGATAAAAGGTCTAGTGAAGACGAGGTTCCAATACAAAAACAATCCATTATCAACACCGAGTCTACTGAACATATGTTCCAATGAAATATCAATAAATCACATTACACAACTTGGAAGCTCGTTGGCTCACGTGGTATGTAGTAGTGGGAACTGTTCGTGATGTTACTGAAAATATGTAAAAATAATTACCAACATCTTTCCCTTAGAAAGAGATTTGCAAGAAGATTCAAAGTACGCAGCAATCATTGTATATATTGATGGAATATTTCGAAAAGTGTACTCTGAGAAATTTTATTCACGTGGGATTGTACAAGGACCAACAGAGAATGCTCTGGCTTGTGCGTGAGATTTTAGAAGGATTAGTTCACGTTCATACACAGGTAGAAACTTTCCATTATTGTATGTGCTAACTGTATGTATGTCTAACTAAATATGAAAAAAATGCGAACAACTTTTGTTTAAAACAATAAATATACAGAAAGACTGAATAGGAAGTGACTACTCGAGCTCGTGGAGGAAAAGGAAGGTCAAAGCATGGAAAACGCTAATTTCTCATCCTTGCTTTATTGAGACATTTTCTCTTGTTGTTTGTAACATTCCTCGTACCAACGTAACTGTACACAATCCAAACAAGTTCACGTGTCTATTATATTGTAACTATACATCCAAAAATGTGGTTGAATGCCGATACACCTTTTTTGAGGGTGTAAAATGTTTAGATGAAGTTATGCCACCAACATATGACAGCCTTCTTAGACAAATTGAAAGCGTAATTTGGCAGGCGGGTATGTGGTATCAGTCTCTTTTACCCCAAATGACTGTTTCCTCCCAATTGGTAACGGTTAGCAGCTTTCAAAAGGGGACATTTATACCCTATGGATGACGCGTCCTCCATCTCCAGACTCATAATTCCGCATTTACTGTCAATTTGAGACTGGGTGTTCAAGCATGCGATATTCATGTAGAAAATCTAACCTAGTCTGCGCGCATTTTTGTTCTGATGTTAACTGCGAAAATACATCAGGTAAAACAGAGTAAGAAAACGAAACAGATGTTTCCGAACTGAGAATCGCATTGTTAAAAGAGAAACATTGTACTTTTTTGTATGGTAGAGTGTAGACATGAAATCTACAAAGTGTTGAAGATCACTGCAAAAGCTCACGCTCACGCTATTGAGTTTTATAAAATCTGGAGGAACATGTCAACCAAATTACTATAAATTATTAGCGCGTCCTATGGTCAAAAATATGGCAGAATTTGATTGTCAGCAGAAAGACGCGGGATCCAAAATTCACATAGGATGCACTGGGTTCAATGAAGTTGTATGTAGAAGCAACTATAGATGGCAAAAACATTTTGTATCTTATAAAGAAATAGTAGAAATTTAAAGTATAAGAATGAACAATCTAGTAAAAGAAGCAACGTCTGCCTTTATCAAGGAACTTTCTAATTACGTTTAGTTTCTTCTATAAAGAAAGTACTATTTTAGATAAACTTGATTTGGAAGTCTTTCACTTATATTTTTACCAAGAAACAAAAGAAAAATTCAAAGGCATGATGCAGAACTCAAATATGTCTCAATTTTGTTTGAAACTAGAAAAATTATTGTGGGGAGCTGTAATTTATAAAGGTACAAGGGAAGAGTAGTGCAAGGATTTTGCATTTTTAGAAAATAATACATTCTTCCTTGACATATATTATATTTACAGTAGGAAAGTATTGTAGTTCTGTTCAATAGTAGATCCAAAATTAAACCAAATAATTTACAATCAACTCAGTTTCTAATATTTTGCCTCTAATCAGAAAGTTTCAACCAGCCAAATAATCATAGCGTTTTGATTTTTTTTTGCTCTTCTAGTTCAAGATATATCCAGTGACGTAGCTAGCGAAAAATATTTGGTCGGGCTCACGAGGCGCCACCATGGTTGGCGCCGAGCGAAAAAATTTTCCGAATTTAGACTCCCTAGAACGTCGGAAACGGCTAACTTAGAAAGCAAATGCGTGATATTTATGCAGGAAATAGAACCATTTTGGTTAATTTAAATTGCACAAGGATCTTATAGTAAAGCAGAGAAACAGTTCAAAAATAGTTGCAGATATGTGATTTATTTTCTCAACACCACATACATAAATAGATACCTATGTACATCTTGTAAAGAAACTTTGACAAAAGAACCGAAAAAGGCTCAGATTTGTCATCAACAACTATCAAAAGTTGTGATGAAATTGTCGTGCTGAAATGACAATCATCATTGACTGCATTAAAAAGTTCCCGGAAAAATTCTCACATGCCATGGACGTAAGACATCATCAGCTTGCTATCAGCCATATATGAATACCTATTTGTATAAGAAAGCAAGTCTTCGTGGTTTTCAATGAACTTCTTTACTACCTCATCATGCAATGTGTTGGCGTCTTCTTTCTCTGACAGTATGTCTTTGTGAATGGAAATCCTGCAAAGAGAACTAAAACGTCCTTGGCTCATAGTATTTCTAAGATAATTTTTTACCCTCTTCAAACAAGAAAATGACCTCTCAACTGAAGCACTTGTAATTGACAAAACCCCATTTATCTTTAACAGTTTTACAACTTCTGGAATACTAGATTGATAATGGAACTGAAAAATATATTTCAATAATTCATCGCATGAATCACAGTGAAAGTCTTTATCTCTGTAAATAAAACAAAGTTGGCTAACTAGCATTGGTATGTCAAACATATCACCATAAACCTCCTTTAGAAGATTTATCTTTTCTGAGGGCACTTCACCTTTCCACATCTTAAACACCCTAGGGTTAACAAGGTCAAAAATCTAAAACGCTCCATATCCTGAAATCGCTCAGTCAGCATAGTCACAATTGTGTCAAGAATTTCAAAATACATTTGTTTGTAATTATGCCGTTGGTCATACCTGGTTACTGGTGGTCCCACTTTCTCAACAGCCAGGTCGTACACCTGACAATATTCTGTATCATTTCTCAGAGAAGCAACAAAGGCCTTGAATCTCTCAAACCTACTCATTCCATAATGAAAGTCAGTGTCCTTGTCTTGCAAGATAGAATAAAGTATGGATGACTGCTCAAGAATTCTCTGGAAAACATGTACCAAGAAACAAAACAAGAAGCCATTAAGGTAGCCAAGTAAACCAGTAACCTTACTTAACGTTTCATCATCCCAACCTATTGGATTATCAGTAAGATTTTCAAATATGTCTATCAGTTTCTCATAGTTAGAATGCAAGACATTGATGACATGAGCCCTATAATACCATCTTGTGTCACCAGGACTAGGAAACTCAAGCCTATGGGATGATAGTAAAGCTTTTCTTTGGGGAATTGCTAGTAAAGGTGCAGAAAGCACTAATATTAACAAAGAAAATCTTAACAGGTGAGATGGAGGATGCAGCTTGACATAATACTAGATTTAGTCTATGGGCAGCACAGTGAACAAATTGAGCATAAGGATAATCCTGCTGAACTTGAGCTTGAACACCATTGAGATGACCAGACATAACAGATGCACCATCATAAGTCTGTCCAATAAATTTCTCTTTCACATTATTATATTGACTTAACTTACCCTTAACCACTGATGATATAGCAGTTGCAGTCCTATCACAACTAACATCAACAAACCCAAGCTGTCTTTCAATGACACTTTCCCTTTGTCCATTCGAACAATTACACTCAATTGTTCTTTGGTAGAAACATCAGTTGCCTCATCAACCTGTATACTTAAGAAAGTGCAGCAATATATTTCCTTTAAAATCTCATCCTCTATTATCTTATCAAGACAATCAATCAAATCATTCTGAATATCAGGAGAGACTCCAGTAAACCGCCCTCCCCCAGCAAGGTGGGTTTCAGCAAGCCTTCCATGTAATCGCCTTTCAAAACAGAATCCATCTTGGCAAAACTTTCAAGTAGCTCTCTATAATTTCCTCTATTCATGCTGCTACTAGATTCATCATGCCCCTAAATGCAAGCTCTTGCCTAGACAAGTATAAAACAGCTTCTGTTATGGTTTTCAACATTTCCCTGTTTTGCCTTACCTCCTCGTTATGACGCTGAATCTCTTCACGTCTAGTTTGTGACATGAGACAGTCGATACGAGGCTGAAAACCGTAGGTCTTCCAGGTCTTGTAGGCACCCATGTGCGATTTTGCCTTCTCATGCTTCTTACAATCGGATAGGAAATTCTTCATGTTTTTGAATCCCGTCTGCATCCATGAAGATGACGATCCAGGGCAAAATAAAAGACAAGGCCAACAGAACAATGCATTCTTTTCTGAGCTACCACAAAGCCAATCTTTCTTCGAGTACCAACTTTTCTGAAAGCTTCTATTGCCTGTAGTCGCTTGTAAATTTGGAATTGGCCGCTGCTTTACGAGTATATTTTGCTCGCCTGATTGTCGAACAGAAAAGGTTTCTTTTGTAGTTCACTTATTATATCGATTTCATTAGCCGAAGCCATTGTAATGTAAGTTATCACGATTTCCGAACGTATATTTCGAAAGCTCAAAATTCAAGTCACGCTGTTGAAAATGAGCCCGACTAGATGTTGTTAAACGTTTGAGTGTGTTCACAGCTACTCTCAACCAATCAGATTACAGATATTCCCACTATAGATTTTATTACTTGGTCGGGCTGAATTTTCAGAGCCCGACTAGATGTTGCGAAACAGCGCATTTGAGTTTGCTCAGTTGCTGTCAACCAATCAGATTGCAGATAATCCCACTATAGATTTTACTACTTGGTCGGGCTGAATTTTCAGAGCCCGACTAAACTGCGTAATGCCTGGCACTAGAAATGCACTAGTCATTGTTGCTAAGTAACGTTTAAAAATATGATAATTTTGCTAATAACGACACAATTTGACAAATATTACACTAATAGACTGTGGATTATTCCAAAAAGAGTCGCAGAATTTAAAATTTTCGAAAATCCAATTTTAAAGAAAACAAATATTTCATTTTTGGGAAAATATTTGGTCGGGCTGGGCCCGACCAGCCAGACCGCTAGCTACGCCACTGGATATATCCCTTATAAGTTCGCAGTACATTTATTACAATATCTTTTCGTTATAACTTATAAGACACCCAGAATCAATCACACAAAAGTAACTCAAAAAATAGATATGTTTCTACTTAATAATGACATATTTCAGTTCACTAAAATCGTAGGGACATGCAAACTTCTCACTTTGTTTTGGACATTTTAACCAAATATTCATGGTCGTTGTTATACGCAGTAATAGAAATCAGATGAAGAATATTTCTCAAAGTTGAGGTTTTCCAAAATCCGCCATTACCACCATGTTTTAAGAACCTCAGATCTTATTGAACTCAATGAGTGTAATTATCATCCAAAATGGTATGAGTCAGCTTTGGTGTGGATGTGTGTAATTATTCTCCCATTTCTTCTGTTTTAGTTATACTATTAAAGTAAAGATGTTCATGTTGATGGTCAATTAAACCTCAAGAATGGCCAGATGTGGTCAAGTGTTTCAATGCTCAAGCCTTTAAAATTAATGAATATTTTGACATTTTGCTAAAAAACTTTAGTCCTCTCCCAAAGTTTTTGTAATTTTACAAACTTGCCGTTAACTGGTGTGGTTATTGGATGCAGAAATATTACTAAAAATTGAAACTTTTTATTGTACCGGAAGCAAAATATTATCGTTTTAATGTTCAGTTTGCACATTACTTATATGCTAAAATTTCAACGGTTTTTTGTAGGTAGCCACGTGAAGTCGTGTTATACTACCAACCACTATGTTATAATGCAAAAAAGTAGAAGAACAAAAGATTGCAAAAACAGGAACACTTTTACTTAGTTTTGTATATTTTGCGCTATGATGAATTTAATGATGTTTGTCTAACTGTTCAATTTTAATACAGTATGTATAAAAAAAGTGTGTTTAAATTATTCCATTGTGCAATGCAGCGTTTGGTGTTGTATATTATTGAAGGCTGTCTTGCGAGAAAAAAGCTTTGTTTAATTGATTTAATTTCAAATAACAGCATGAAATCTCATTAAAAGCACAAAATTTCCGACATTGCATTATGCTATTTTGTCTTGCAATTATTATTGGTGTATAGCAGCTGGTTATTTCTGATTGTTATGAAATGAGAAACATTTAATTAAAAAGATATATAGACTCTCTCGTAAAGATCTTCTCACCATGCATAAACTCTCTTTGTGCATGGGCGCTGAACTTGGTTTTCCAAATTGCTTGTTCCGATTAGTCTACTTGTGTTGAGCATAAAATAGAGCCTTCGGTTTTGGCAAAACAATTTCGTGGTTTTACACTGAATTCGGTCAAACTAAAGGGTCTAAGCTCAATTTTGAGGTGTGATGAATGTTTGAAGAAGCAATTTTGTTTTCACTTTGCCAAACATGTACTCATTGCTCTAACTAGAAACAAATCGTGAAATTATTAAAACTTTGATCTTTCTCACATTAAACGATAATAAAGTCAAAATAGGAAATTTAAATAGTATGTTAAGATTTTCTTCATATTCTTACAAAATTTCCTGTGATGTGTGAATGTATAATTATTGTAATGTTGATTTCAAGGAACAAAAATGTAAAAATCAATTTAAATCTGAGTTGAATCTAAAATGTATATTTCTTATGCAAAAATTTGAGTTGTAAAGCACTTTGCAAATGTCTGATACAAATAGACAATCATTTGAAAGTATTATTTACTAGTTGCTATGGGAGTGATTTTAACAAATTGTATTTTGATTTGTAAAATCTTAAAAATGTAAATTGTTTATGTAACACTGTTGCAAGCGCTTTAGTTTTTTAAAAAGATTATTATTTCACAGTATTCCTTTCGTTTGAAATGGTATGGAGATAAATTTCAGTCTTGCCTTTTAACCAAAAAGTTTCTGATCAACTAAGAAATAAGTAAAATTTTTCGTAATGTTTCAGGCGAAATCACTTAAAGTGTTGAATGATAAACTGAAAACAACGAAAAAGTTTAAAGTCTGGAGGAAAGACATACTTTAGGAAGCCTCTGTCATTTTTAAAATTCACAAAACTTTTTTTTCTTAATTTCATTCGGCTACTGGATACCTATCAGCAGTTTCTACCTGAATATGTTCCAAGGCTCAAATTGTATTTCTTTCTTTCACTTGTAACAGAAAAGAAGTCATATTTGGCGTAAATTGTGTTGCCTGTAAAGTCTTCCATGTCAATGCGAAGTTTATTTCTCTCATGTAAGATGACAAATACTTTTATTTGGTGAGTAGAGTTTAAAGAGTTTTGTTTGTTTAATTTTTGACGCGTTGCACAGATATATTTAAGCTAAGGAATATTTTATACGCAAAGTTGCAATAATAAATTTAATATTACCAAATTGTACCTAAATGTAGCGCAGTAAAACCTTTCAATTTAGAAAAGTGGTTAATTTTTGTGAGCGAATCACTATGTGGTCTTTATTCTCATTCCCTCGTTCGTTTCAATTGTAATAGCATCATGATATTAACAAAGAAAGAGCAAAGGTTGTATGCATAAAATAGTGACTATATGAAGGAAGCTAATACATTTAATGTTAAAATCAAAGACCAATACCAATACCAAAACTGGTTATCAGATGTGTGTAAAAAGCAATCAAAATTATGCCATAGTGATTGCCTTAGTTCATTTCAATAAATTTGTTGATAGTTTTCGTATCCACTTGGTAACCTTGCAGCAGTGTACACTGATTTACAGTGAGTTCAGCCAAATCGGATGTTAGGGTGCCAGGAAATACTTTAATTAATTCGTTCACACCAGGCTCCTGATAACAAAACTGTGCAATTTCCTTCATTAAAATAACTTTGGACAATGATTTTCATATACCATCAATAAAATAAAAATTGACCTTACAGCAGACGATGTGGATGAGCAACATCTACTTAAAAAAGATCGGACAGTGGAAGCACTTAGTTCTAAAAAGAAAGCATGAAGTTCATCAACTGACAGAGTACTTAAATTCTCCTAACAAGTTCATAATTTCAACGAGATAAAATCTCATTTTTTGACATGCGCTTTAAAGCATGCATGATGATATTGGTCAACAGGACCGACAACACAACTTAAATTGGCATTTATTTTGAAATTGGGATCATGAGCTAGCGTAATCTCTTAAAACATGTAAGAAATAGATCATTTCTCCTCCTGATCATTGAAGTTTAAGTTGGAAAATCGAGATACACATCGTGCAACATGCTTAACTCGTTAATCCCACTCCCAGGTCTTGATTACTAACTTGTCCTGCGTACGAGAAGCTTAATGCAGCAAACTATAATAAGTTTAACAGATGGCTTACTTTTGCCAACATCATATTCATTAACAATAATGGTGGATTGAGAAGGAGATTCTGTGTTTGAAAAACATTATTGAATTTTTTGGTTTTAGGAGGATTAAATTTCATAGAATTTTTACAGCCCACTTAGAGCACTCGCAAATTTTAATGAATGACCAGTTTCTGGTTTTTTCATGATGTAGTGTTGTCGAGAAATTTAACTATTTCTTCATAAATATCAAGATCATTTGCCATGACTTTAAATAACGTTGGGCTTAGTTTGGTTTTCTTGGAAACGCCCAACAATGTCTTCGCCTAAACACGAAAAGCTGGTCCCAGTTTACGTGCGTTATCTTCGGTTTGTGAGAAAATTTGCCGTCCTATTAATCAGAACTGGTTGTATTTTTATGATTTGTGGCTTTGCATCACAATATTTTGATCACGCAATTTTGTCGAAAGCTTTAGAATCGTCTAAGGTACATGTAAACGTGCAGGTACCGAGTGTGCCCATATATTCATACCATTCATTGAACATATAAATGACTACAGTTTTAGAATTAGGGTGCCTTGTGTGTTCAAATATTCACATCATTTATGGAATATATAAATGAGCTCCAATTTAGAATTAAGGTGTCTGGTTTGTCCATATATTCATACCTTTTATGGAAAATATAAATGAGTACAAATTAAGAATTAAGTCATTTAATCCCCAAAAATTGCTTATTATCAATTAGATTGCTAATTGATTGCAACAGTCATTTATTGGATGTTAGGGAAACTGGTCTGAAGTCTCAACTATGAATAGTGGGATTTTAAAGATCTAATTGAACTTTTGATTTCATTAAGGCTTGATTTCAGGCGTTCATCGATTTTACTGGTGTATAATCTTGAAAGTGCATTTTTATAGAAAATGTTCCCTTTGTTTTTGCAACAACGAACGGCAACTTAGTGTTCTCAACTCCAAGCGGCTTGGCGTTTGGACATTTTTTTATGTTTAGGGGTTATTAAAAGTTTCTCCCTACTATTAATTTTTACGCGTTTAATGAAACATGATGGTCAAAAATGCTATTAATAAAGTCTTAGCTGGGGTAATATACACAACTCTCATAAACTAAATGTGTGCATCAAATTTCTTCACTTAATTCACTTGAACGAGATCAAAGGTGACCTACTCTTTGTTAGTCAATCAATGCATTTAATGATCGGAATGAGATGTGTTGTAGCTACAACAGTGCGAGTGGCAATTAACGTCACTATCTTGACTGATCATCAATCTCGTGCAAGTTCAGACCAATAGTAATGTGTATTATGTACATTCATCTTAAGTAAAAAAAATTAACGGCTTTTTACATTCCAGTATCGTTTAACTTACTAGTTACCAAGATATCAATAGTGGTGACGTAGTTTTCTATAAATATCACGTTTCATACATCATCATTAATTATTATGATTTTTATAGCAAACTTCACAAGAAAGGACATTATATTAAGTATCTATATAATGCCATTAAAACGGTGCATTTAACCTACTTACATCATGAAGCTATCGTTATATGTTAAC